CCGGAATGAACCTGGGACCCTTTGGTCCACAGGCTGAGGCTCTTCCACTGATCCAATCCGGCTAGGGTGATGATTAATTAATGGGTTTATGCCAATCTAGATTGAGGTATCCAGTGGGATGCCAAGGAGCTATTACATAAGTGTTGACCTGTTCACTTTTTATCAGTGTCCCGAAAAAGCCAGGCATTACCAAATTTGTCTTTGATGGGCCAGATTACTTCTTCTACACCTGGACATATGCACTTAATTCTGGATGGGACACACAGGGTATAGGGAAACCAGAAAATGTTTTGAAGAGAGTGATTGAGTTGGTAACCTGAAGGAAAGTATCAATCGTGTAATATAAGAAACTGATGAAGTGTCTGGGGATATTCAAACTAAACAATAGAGGACCCAAGAAATCTGAGATAGCATGTTTTACTTGGATTGAAGGGTTGTGGTCAATGGATCAAATAACAGGAAGGCAATCTCAGCTTGATATAAGAGGAACTTTCAGATGCTAGACTTTTTAAAATGCAGGCGATGAGACTCGACCTATGGACCAGGAGGTCATGGTTCGATTCCTGGTCAGGGTACATGCCTGGGTTGCGGGCTCGGAGATCGTGCAGGAGGCAGCTGATTAATGATTCTCTCTCATCATTGATGTACTGATGTTTCTATCTCATTCTCCCTCTCCCTTGCTCTCTGAAATCAATAAAAATATTTTTTAAAATAAAATAAAATGCAGACAATGAAATGTGAAAGATAGCAAACATCTATTGATTAATCTATACATTTAGTAAAAATTCTATACATTTAGTAAAAATTCTAGCAGGATTTTTAAAAATCTGACAACTTATTCTAAAATAGAGGCCCATGAGATATATAAAATCATGATAATAAACCAGTGTGGAATTGGTGCATCAACAGGTAAGTAAGCCAATGGAACTGAAGGAGTTCAGTGACAGATTTGTGTATTTAGGAGAACTTGGTATATGAGGAAGATACCACTGGAATCAATAACAGAAAAATGGATGAACTGTTCAATGGGTTTCATTTAGAGGATTGATAAGGGGACTACACAGGAAAAAGTGGAGTTGGGGAACTTTCACAGTATACCAAGATGTATGCAGATGGATTAGAGGAGTAAATGTGAAAGATAAACTCTAAAGCAAACAGAAGAAAATATAGAAACGTATATTTGTGATTTGGGAGTAGGGAGGACTTATTCAAAATTTCCAGAACACAAAACATGAGGGGAAAATTATTCAGTTGCCTATTTAAAAGTTAAGGATTTGGGGTAACATATACAAAGTTATCAGATTACTGACACTTGGGAAAGTTTTTTGCAACATCAACACCATAAGACAGCAATTTTCAACCAGTGTGCCGCAAAAAAATTTTAAAACATGCAATACCTGACTACTTAGTCAGGGGCACTAACCTATTTTTCCTTAGATTGTCAAATAAAAAAAATGACAACAGCCAGCACAACAATAGGTGTCTGGTGTGAATGAATCAAAATTATAGCTTTTTTTTTTTGTCAGATCGGCAAAAATATATTTTTTGATGTGCCACAACATTTTACTAATTAGTTTATGTGTGTCATGAAATGAAAAAGGTTGCAAATCCCTCCCATAAGTTAGTATCTAGCTATACAAAATACATATACTACAATATACTACACAATATACTACAAGTAACTATCTAGTAAAGCAAGTGAGCCTACAAGTGAAAGATAGGAAGCCTTTTTGGAAAACAGTCCTCTTAAACTGGACCTGTGAAACATTGGTTTTCTTGTTCACACATTCTACAAATATTTATTGAGTGCCTATCACATATCAGCATTGTTCTAGATTCTGGGAATACAACAGACAAAACTCTGCCCTCCTGGAATTTAAATACTCCCCAATGTTCTCTCCTACCAATAGAAAAAAAATAGAAGAAAGAAATTCGCTTCTACTAAGTGAATTTCCCCTCTAAATTACAATCATGTCATTTTCAAGTTGGAAGGATTCATAGGGTGCATTTCTCCTAAATCTGTATTTTCATGGCGATAAAGAACTTCCCTCACAGATCTGGCAGGCACGAGGATCTGACACGTGGCTTGTGCTTCATTGTAAAGCGCAGAGGTTAGGTGGATCCACAGTGCTTAACAGTGAATCATGGCTCTTGCTCTACAACCTGAGTGACAGTTGGCAACCTCTCTGGGCTTCAGTTTCCTCATCAATCAAATGGCATCAAAGATGAGACTTGAGCAGGGCGGGGCAGGTAAGTGATTTGTATCCGGGTTGCGAGGTGCTGGGAGTCTCCGCTGACCTTGCAGCCTGTGGAGGGGTGGAAAATGGCAGCATTGCAGATGTTACTGAAGGAGGAACTCCCGTTTGCAAGAGGGCAGTTATAGAGAGTTACCAGAACCTGACCCGGGTGGCAGACTACTGTGAGAACACCTACATACAGGCTACAGACAAGAGAAAAGCTTTAGAAGAGACCAAAGCCTATACAACCCAATCCCTAGCTAGTGTTGCTTATCAAATAAATGCATTGGCCAACAATGTACTTCAATTGCTGGACACCCAAGCCTCTCAGCTTCAGAGAGTGGAGTCCTCCATCAATCATATCTCACAGACAGTGGACATTCATAAAGAGAAAGTGGCTCAAAGGGAGATTGGTATTTTGACAACAAATAAGAAAACATCAAGAACTCACAAAATAATAGCACCTGCTAATATGGAGCACCCTGTAAGATATATTCGGAAATGTATTGACTATACAGTTCTGGATGATGTGGGCCATGGTGTCAAGCATGGAAATAACCAGCCTGCAAGAACTGGCACACTGTCGAGAACAAATCCTCCTACTCAGAAACCACCAAGTCCTCCCATGTCAGCCCGGGGTACGATGGGACGGAATAGGCCTTACAAAACCCTGGAACCTGTTAAACCTCCAACAGTGCCTAATGACTATATGACCAGTCCTGCTAGGCTTGGAAGTCAGCATAGCCCAGGCAGGACAGCTTCTTTACCTCAGAGACCAAGGACACACAGTGGAAGTAGTTAGGGAAGTGGAAGTCGAGAAAACAGTGGAAGCAGCAGTATTGGCATTCCCATTGCCATGCCTACACCTTCACCACCCACTATTGGATCAGCGGTCCCAGGCTCAGCTCCTGGTTCCCAGTGTGGCACAATGACCAGGCAGATTTCTTGACACAACTCTACCACTTCCTTGACATCTTTTGGTGGATACAGTCGAACTCCCTCTGTG